CTAGAATTGTTCCCTGCATAGCTTATGTCTGGAATAAATGAAGTTAGGGGTACTGGCCTGAGAATCCATACTTGCACACCTGGATGGATGACTGAGTAGGTGTCAGCTTTGTTCATAGCTGGCTGACCTGGTAGAGTTGTGATGTTCAGTAACACTGTTGTGGAACCTGTAGAGTCACAGTGTGTTTGGTCCCAAACCGGATGCTATGATCATCTGGCTTCTCATCTTAGTGTGTATGTGAAAGGCTTGGGAGCTGCCTGTGCCACCTGGCCATTGCTTGTGTCTGTTTGGGGCTGGTAACTGGCCATTTAGGGGCAGAGGTGCCTGGGCAGTGCCCTGTAGGAGGCTGTACAGGCCAGGCCTCTGAGAGCCTGCTGGAGCCAGAGGTGTGGCATGGGTTCTACTAAGAGCCTGTGGGCTCATTGGGTTTAGTGGGAGGGTCTTGTTCTGTTTGGGCACAACACTTTTGAGTCTTCATGGTGACCCTTAGAACAATCCTAAAAGATAAGATGTATTTACAAATCAGACTCAAATCCAAGTTTAAGGAGGCCTTTTATCACTAAGAACCCTGGAGTGTAGTGTGGGCACCAGTGCAGTCTTGGAGCCTTTGATTACTGGATGTTAGCTAGTAACTGCTCTGATTCTGGGGTTCTCCAAAAGCAGCAGTAATGGTGCCTGTTGCTGCACTGATGGTCAATGAGGCAGTGCCTCTGAGATTGCTGAGGGTCATATCCAGAAGGAGGGTAGATGCAGAGGTTAAGGCCCTACTGTTAATAGCCTTTAAAAAACTATATACTGTGTGTGGATGTATGGGTACATGTCATTGCATGTGTGTCAGAGGACAGTTTTGTGGAGTTCTCACCTACCACATGGGTTCTGGGGTTTTAACTCAAGTTGTTAGGCTTTCATAGCAAGTGCCTTTACCAGCCAAGCCATCTTACTGGCCCCAACTTATAAAAATTTTTTTGAGACATGGTTTTAACTCTGTAGCCTGCACTGGTCTCAAACTTGTGCTCCTCATGTCTCAGGCTCCTGAGTGCTGTGCCACCACACCCAGCTGGTATTATTATTATTATTTAATGTGTATGAGTGATGAGTGTATTGCCTGCATGTATGTGAGTACACCTGTGTCCTGCAATGCCGTGGTCAGAAGAGGGCATCAGATGCCCCTGGACCTGGAGTTAAGGATGGTTTGTAGCTGCAATGTGGGTGCTGGGAATTGAACCTGGGTCCTCTGCAAGAGCAGCCAGTGCTCTTAACTGCTGAGCCATCTCTCCAGCCCCATGGTATTATTTTTCTTTTTTAGGTTTAACTATGCTTTAAAAATTGGTTGAATTTGTTCTTTGATACGTGCATATAATGCACTCTGACCCCCTCCCACCCTCTTACCTGTCTCCCGTCATCATTTCCTCCTCCTTGTAAAGTCCTTTCCTACTTGCTTGTCTTTTTGTTGTCTTTTGTGCCAGCAGGATTTTTGTTTGTTTGGGACGTGGTGTTTCACTGTGCTGCTCAGGCTGTCCTCAAGCTCCTTGGCTCAAGCACTTCTTCCCGTAGCCTCCAAGTAAATGGGACTATAGATGTGAGCCTCTATGCCCAACCTTTCCAGAATATTCCTTTAGATTTGCTGCCAACCGGAGCAACAACCTGTGATGCAATGCCTCCGCCTCAGAGAGAGGGACACAACGTTAGGTGGGCATGTGTGAGCTGTGTCCCATGGGCAAAGGACTACCCAGTATCCTTGTCTTGGTCCTCCAGTGTTGGATCTGCCTAGGACAATAGAACAGCTCTTCTCGGTGCCCTGTGCAGGTCCCCTTCAGGAGTCATAGCCTTGGAAGTGGCTGTGCCTCTTTTGTAGAGAACTCACATCAGTGTGTAGGGTCAGTGTACTGCTTAGGAGGCAGCTGTGTGTAGTGTGTTGCTAGGGGTGAACCAGGAGAGGACTTGCTGTTTGTACTACAGCAGTTATGGGTGCCTGTCCTAGGCCTCAAGTGTTCTGAGTTGAAGTGCTCCCTGCTTGGACTGTCTAGTTGTATAGATGCACAGGTGAAATCTTTCCTCTTTGAGACTTATGGACATTGTAGAGGTATTTGCTGTGAGCTCTGCAGGCTGTTGGGCTTTGTCCCAGTGGACTCTCACTCCTGGACTTAACACCCTCTGAGTTGCCAAGGGTTGGTTCATGGGGACCAGCCACACTGGCGCCTGGCGTCTGAAAGCATTTGTTGAATGAACAGATGATGGCAGGTGACAGCTGTTCATGATGCATGGTGTAGGGTTATTTCAATATGTGTAATCAGAATTGAGATGCGCTTGAAGGAATAGTAAGCTGCTCATAAGTCAAATGATCATTTTTATAATGAGCTACTTTGCTTTGAAAGGCCATGCTGGTGTGTATCCAGGCATGTCCTATTAGTGCGTGAGTCACTCAGTGGTCTCTTGGGACTACAAGCACCTAAGTGCCAAGAGGACACAAATGACAGTGCATTTGAAAGAAGGGCCCTAGGCTGGAGTGTTGGGGGCGGGCAAAGGGAAGGGGTGGGGTCAGGCACAGTCAGTGTAGAGATCCTGCAGTTAGTTTTCTTCACAGTGTAGCTGGACACTGGGTGAGGTTGCCATGGTATTGGTGTGAAGGAGAATAGAGGGCAGGTGTCTGTGAGTGGAGGCAGAGCTGACAGAGTCAGCCAAGGGTTGAGTAAGGAGCAGACTCAGACAGAGCCTTCTGGGTTTGATGGTGCGCATCCAGTATCCCTGAGATGATGAGACCACGTTCAGGGAGACCACCAGGGTGTAGGGGACAGAGGGGAGGGGGTCCTTGGCTGATGGGCCAGTCACTGGGCCTGCTGTTGCAGTTCAGTCATTTTCTCAGGTCAGCAGTCTTAGGAGTAGGGGACCCACACTGTGGCATCGGACCACCCAACATTCCATTTTCCTCACCACAGCCTTCTACTGCTGCTTTGACTGCCGAATAGGGCTTTGCTTAGGCCTGGATGTGAATGCCTTAAGGCTCGTGGGCCAGCAAGGCCCTGTTGGGCTGCTGCTCAGACACGAGGCAGCCAGTGCTGCTGCTGTTCCTGCAGCAGGGGAATTGCATCTGGAACTTCAATGTGGGAATGGTTCTAGGAGGTGATTTGTTAATTAAATAAAATAAGACTGAGGTTTTTCTGGGAAGAGTGGACCCTTGGGAGGTGGCTTCTCTGTGCTACCTATAGCCCCTCTGCCTTCCCAGTCCCTTCAGCACATTTCAGACACCAGACACTACCTAATCTGCGTCTCAGGGCACATAACCGACTCCTTCCTGGAGCTCAGTTTCTGGATCTGAGCCCCTCCTTGGCTATAGTGACATTGGTATGCTTGTGCCCTCCCACTCCTCACCCCTTTCCCCTGTGCTTTCTTGTCTTTACTGGGACAAGCCTTCTCTTCTGATGAGAGCCAGCCCTTTGCCCACATCCTTGTTGCCAGGCTCTAAGGAACCCTGGTTGGGAGAGAGTATGGTTACTAGCTAGCCCCAGCCTGCTTTGGGGATGGAATATAGTAAGGAGGTTGGCACCAGGTGATGCTGTGCTCTGGATAGCAGCCTGACTGGCCAGCCAAGTGTGAGAGGCCATAGGCAGCCTTAGGGGTATTGTGCTGGAACTTGGGGAAGTGTAGTCCTCTCCACACCCATGTTACCATCCAGTTGTGTTCTCCTGGGCATCAGCTTGGGAGTTCCTGTGCTCTTGTCTGTCTGTCATGTGTACACTAACCTAACTTCAGCCAGGAGATCCAAGATGTCTGTCCTCAGGCTTCACAGTTTAGTGAAGGGGCAAGGAGTGGATGTGATACAGAGAGAATGGCCAAGACCATGATATGGAGATAGTGGCTGGTTGTCCTTTCTGTTCCCCTTGTTCAGTGTGGAAGAGTTCTGGCACCCTTGAGAGCTGATGAGGGTTGCTGCCAAATCCAAGGCAGGGTTAGTGTCTTTAGAAAAAGCTATTTTTATTTTATGTGTATCAGTGTTTCGCTTGAATGTATGTATGTAAGTGTACCAGATGCTTGCAGTGCTCACAGAGGCCAGAAGAGGGTGTTGGGTCCCCTGGAACTGGAGTTACAGACAGTTATTAGAATCAAACCTGGGTTCTCTGTGAGAGCAGCCAGTACTCTTAACTGCTGAGCCATCCTCTAGTCCCCTAAGGTTGCATCTTTGAAAAGAAACCTGGCATCTTCACTTATGCTTCAGCCTGAGTGTGAAGGCTCTCAAGGCTCTGAGTGGGGAGGTAGGGAAGAAGGAAGCCTGCTGTGATTACTCAGGGAGTTGAGATGGAGCTCAGTAGAGACTTCTGTGCTGATGAAGGAGGGAGGAGTCTGGGGCAGAGGGAGAACAGAAGTCCACGGCAGAGGTGGTTCTGTAGACATGGTGGTGCTTAGAAGAGGCAAGAGGAATAAGCAGCAGATAGATGATTTTCAGTGAAGCAACTTGGTAAGGATGACAGGTGCCAGCACTGAGCTGGAATGAAGAGGAGCTCTGCAGGCTGTGGGCTTGTGTGTACTACATAGAGAACTGATGCCACAGCACATGGACTAGTGCCATACTGATTGTGTTCCTTGCCCAGACATGGCCATCTCCAGGGTGCTGTCTAGGATCCAAGGAACTGGCAGATGGGTACTGTGTTTTAGAAGCATCTTAAAACATGCTTATTGTAAGAACCATGAGCACAGGATGGAGGATGCTGACTGTTATCAGCCAGAAGTGCTGCAGCCAGGACTGATGCCAGTAGGCCGCAAGCCCTCGAGTTGGTGCTCCTGGTGCCAGTGGGTCTCCTCTCACCTTTGCCGAGCCTTTCTTCCTGCATTGTAGCAGATTTGACTAGTGTAGACTTCCCAGAACTCTAAAGTCCTGTTTCCTAAGATCCTTTTTTGACTCAGGCCTCTCACTTTGTGCCTCCTGGTGAACTCTGTCACCTTCATTTTTCTCTGCAGAGGATTGTTCTAAATTGAGGTGTGATATGGTCTGTGTTTTTCCTTAGGGCTTCGTGGTGTTTGGGGGTTACAGCTCACATGGCTGCAGCCAGTGTGACCCCCCCTGGCTCCCTAGACTTGCTACAGCCTGGCTTCTCCAAGAACCTCCTGGGAACCAAGTTAGAGGCCAAGTACCTGTGCTCAGCTTGCAGAAATGTCCTGAGGAGGCCCTTCCAGGCCCAGTGTGGTCACCGCTACTGCTCCTTCTGCCTGACCAGCATCCTCAGGTGCGCGTGGCATGCTGCCTGGGTGGGCAGGGACAGGTGGGTGGCTCTGGTGTTAGAATTGTGCTGTCTAGTATAGAAATTGCCAGTGTAAATCCTCCTGGGTTTCTTTGGTCTTAGCACAAACCAAGATTATAAAATTTACCGTTGGAAAAACATTGAGTGTAGCCAAATGTGGTGCATTCTGGTTCCCAGCTTTGGGGAAATGGAGACAGGAAGAAATTCAAGTCATTCTTGGCCACATACCAAGTTCAAGACAGCTGCAGACCTGTGAGACCCTGTCTCAAAAAACAGCAGTGGAGCCAGGTGTGGTGGCACACACCTTTAACCCCAGCACTCAGGAGTCAGAGGCAGGTGGATCTCTGGGAGAGCAAATCCAGCTTGTTCTACAGTGAGTTCCAGCTGGGACTACAGGGAGACCCTGTCTCAAAAAGACCAAACCCATACACACAAACACACATACACACATACACACACACACACACCACCATCACCAAAACAAATAACAGTGTTGCTGGGGAGATAGCTCTATGATAAGGTGCTTTCTGGGCAAGCATAACTTGAGTTTGCTACCCACCATCCAAGTAAAAATGCTGTAAAAAGTCATGCTGAAAAACAAGGTAGATGTACGGTACCTAAGGAACAACGCCTGAGATTGGTCTCTGGCTTCCCCACGCATACACGTATGTATGCACTTGTAATAATATGTATATTATTACATACGTACAGTAATAGTAAAAAACATGGACTATATATTGGAATACTATTTTTGGACATGTGGGGTTGAGTGTATAAAATATTCTTAGCCGGGCATGGTGGCGCATGCCTGTAGTCCCAGCACTTGGGAGGCAGAGGCAGGCGGATCTCTGTGTGTTCAAGGCCAGACTGGTCTACATTGTGAGTTCCAGGATAGCTGAGGCTACAGAGAGACCCTGCTTCAAAAAGACAAAAAAAGATATCATCCTTGGGGCTCGAGAGATGGCTCAGCCGTTAAGAGCATTGACTGCTCTTCCAGAGGACCCAAGTTTGATTCCCAGCAGCTATGTGGGGTGACTCACAGCTGCTTGTGACTTCAGCTTCAGGGGATCTAGTACCTTCCCTGGGCACCTGAACACACATGGCATGCACTCACATAGACACATATGTTTAAAACAATCATCGTTGGGTTTGTGGGTACTAGAAAGTTTAGTGTGAGGCTTTTATCTCTTTAGCCTGCTCTGGGTGGGCAGGTTGTGTAGGTGATTGGCTGGCAAGTGTCGCTGTGCAGTAGTCTAAAAGAGAGGCAGCACTTGTCAGGAGGATGAGCACACCTAGCTGTTTCTGGTGTGTGTGAGCAAAGTGCCTTGCTCACAAGTGGAACGAATGGGGGCTCAGTGATAAAGCACTTGCCTGACATGGGTCGAGACTCTAGGTTAGATTCTTAGCATCATAAATTTTAAAAAAGGGAAGAAATGGCTTGGCCTTGCACATTGAAGTCCTCAATCCCCCTTTCCATGTTTGAATCTTCTCTGTGGTTAGAAACCCTTTAAACAATGTACAGTTGACATGCTTGTTTCATCAAAATGAGAAACATTAAGCACGGGTGCTGCAGAGCTGGACTGTGGGCTGAGCAGACAATGTCGGTTATTCTCCAGAACAAGCTTTACAGTGGGATTTTGTGCTTCCTCTGCCCCCACTAGCTCTGGGCCTCAGAATTGTGCTGCCTGTGTCCATGAAGGCATATATGAAGAAGGAACTTCTATTTTAGAGAGCAGTTCGGTAAGTACACTGTATTGAGCTAAAAATGTCAAAATGAGTTGGAAAATGTTTGGGAATTTCCTTTCATAACATTGGTGATAATGAGAATTTAGGAGGTTCTAGAAGTGGCCTCTTAGCAGATGTGAATGTGGAGAGTTTAGAGAGGTAGATGTGCAGACATGAGCTGGTCCTCAGTCATCCATGCTCCATGACCTGGCCCAAGAGGGAGGCACGGGTTGGTTTGGATAGGGGCTGTGATCGTGGATGGTGCTTCGTGGGCAGTGGGGTGCTGGGAGGAAGTGTAAACCAAGGATGTTCCTGTTCCCAGGCCTTTCCAGATAATGCTGCTCGCAGGGAGGTGGAGAGCCTGCCAGCTGTCTGTCCCAATGATGGATGCACCTGGAAGGGAACCCTGAAAGAATACGAGGTAGAGAGGCATCTCTGCAGGCCTGGGCCAAGGTGTCCTGGCTGAAGCCCACCCTTGGGCTTTGGGGAGGTTCTGCTCTACAAAGAAGTTTTAATGGAAGCTGTCTATCTACTCTTGCTGGGATGGGCCTAATAATGTATGTGGAGGAAGAGGCAACTGCTCCTTAGAAAGTGTTCCCTTAGTGGGGACATGCTTGTGATCCCAACACTTGGGAAGCTGAGGCAGGAGAATCCTGAATTTGAGGGGAGCCTGTTCTGCCTAGGGAGACCTTGGTTTTGTTTTGTTTCATCTCTTTTTAAAAACAATATCCTTTTTGAAACCCTTTAGAAGTAGTGCAGCACAGGACCGCACCATAGATCCTGGCATTTTTCTCCGTGCCTCTGTTTCCTGCTCTGTCTCCAGAGATGAAGAAAGAATAGGAGGTGCCTTGTGCAAGGATCAAGTGCCATATTGGCCTTGAGAGCATCATATTTGCCTAGGCAACAGATCTCCAATCCTGTGTTGGAAACTGCAGCTTCCAAGTTCAGTTGGATTTTATGTTGTGTCTCATACCCACAAGGGATGTTGTGTTGACACTGGAAATTGCCCAGGAAATGAGTACATTTGTTCGGTGGTCACAGAAAGGCTTCTAGAAGGCCAGGAACAGAGATGGAAATGGATGATGCCATTGTAGTGCGAACATCAGTGTAAGCCTATGTCATCTTTCAGCATCTTCGGTTAAGCCTGCATCACAAGGGCCATGTGGCTAGGCCAGGCCACTCCAGTCCACTCAGTTATCCATTCCTCATTCTTCTCTTAAACAACAACCTTCAAAAAGTTTAAATCTGAGCTGGGCATGGTGGTTGCACACCTGTAGTCCCAGCACTTGGGAGGCAGAGGCAGGCGGATCTCAGTGAGTTCCAGGCCAGCTGGGGCTACAGGGAGACTCTGTCTCAAAAAGACAAAAAATTAATTAATTAATTAATTTAAAAAGAAAAAAGAAGGAAAGCCTGTACCTGCCATGACAGGGATGGACCTTGATGACATCGTGCTGAGTGACTATGCCAGGCACGGAAGGCAGGGCCTGTAGGATTCCATTCACATGAGGTCCCAAAGTTGTGAAATTCATGATAGACAGTAGAATGGTGGGTGTGAGGGGCTGGGTGCTGTGACTGGTAGGTAACAAATTGTCATTTCTAAGGTGGGAGATACCTTGATGCCATCCCAAATGTCCTCATGCCTTTGAGCGGTAAAGGACTCTTTGCTCAGAACCCTGCTTTCCTACATTTCAGAGAGGTCCCTGTGTACCTAGACAGAGAACTTGGGGGTCTCCCACTGAAACAGTCCTGTGGGATTGGGTTTCAGAGTCCCTGTCTCCTTTCCTGTGCCCTGCCATGTGTGTCTGGCCATACTTCCCATGTTCTGTCAACTGACACTACTTTGTGGTCTCAGGCTCTGGGTTTCATTTTGCTGGGAGAGCAGTTTTGGACTGCATTTGGGTAGAGGAGGAGCTCTTTTCTAGCGTGGGGTCAGAGCCTGGTCAGCCACAGCCACAGTTGGCAGTGTGTTCCCAAAGTGAAATGCACAATGCTATGTGAGCACGATGGCCCCTAGGGAAGTGACAGGCTGAGGGTCTTTCCTTGGGGGGTGGGGCTGGGCAGGTACAGGGAGATGTGAATGTAGAGGGTGAAGTCTCTGCCCTTGAGGGTGTCTGAGAAACCCCTGTGGCAGGTAGAATAGCAGTTCCTAGCTCTGTGCTGGGCTCTGGATTCCTCTGGGGTCTCTGCTACCTCCAGGCTGGTGGTACAGGAGGTCAGTGACTGTGGGCCTCTGGCTGAGGGCCAGGGATTACAGCCAGGCCCTGGGCCTGGTGCCATGTGGCCCTGTAGGCATGCGGAGTGGAAAGTCCCTGGCTGCGCCCTTTGAGAGCTCTGGAAAGTCCCTGAGAGGAGTTGGGTTTGGTCACATGGGAGGGCAGGCACAGCTCTGCTGTGACTGATTATCGATAAAAAACTTCTCACTGGTGGTAAATGTCACAGGCCAGGGCAGAAATTGCATATTCTGTGCTCTGTGTGTAGTTATTACCACCTTTCCAAAAGTGATTTCCCTCCTCCTACCTGTCCATCTCTTTGATCCTTGGCTGTCACTGCTAAGACTATAACTAAAGCTGTTTTTAGTGGTTTAATCATTATGGAAACTTTGGAAAAGAAATAATGGAGAAAAATCCCACTTAGCCTTTGGCTTTGTTTTTCCTTCATGATGATGCCTTTCATTCTGAGACTGAATTTAAAGCCCTATTAGAATCTAATGTCTCTAGATTACCTGCCAAAGAACGTTGGTCAGATGAGTTTCACAGAGACCCCAGGTTGCAGGGCTGAAAGTAGGTACACATGGGGGCTAGGCTTCTAGGCAGGGACTAGGCAACACCTAATACTAGGGAGCCCCTAGCACTAGGGAGGTGAGTATGGTCTTATCTTATGGTAAGAGATTCAGTTGTGGGGCTGGAGAGAGAGATAGTTTAGTGGTTAAGAGCACTGGCTGCTCTTACAAAGGACCCAGGTTCAGTTCCCAGCACCCATATGGTGGCTGACAACCATTCCAGTTCCGGGGAATATGACACCCTCTTCTGACCTCCGTAGGCATTGCATGACACAGGTGTACTTACATACACGCAGACAATACACTCAGACACATAAAAATAAATCCAGCCAGGTGTGGTAGAACATGCCTTTAATCCCAGCATTCAGGAGGCTGAGACAGGCAGATCTCTGTGAGATTGAGGCCAACCTGGTCTATGTAGTAAGTTCTAGGACAGCTAGGGCGAAATAGTGAGACCCTGTCTCAAAAAAAAAATAAAAAAATAAAAAAATAAGGGGCTAGAGAAATGGCTCTGCAGTTAAGAGAATCTGCTTGTCTTGCAAAGGACCCAGGTTCGATTCCCACCACCCACATGACAGCTAACAATTGTCCATAACTCCAGTACTAGGGAATCTGACATCCTCTTCTGGCCCCTACAGGGCATTTTACACATGTTATGCACTTACAACAAGCAAAACGTTCATACACATAAAATAAAAATAAAATGTTTTAAAAAACCTAGTAAATAGCCGGGCGTGGTGGTGCTCGTCTTTAGTCCCAGCACTCGGGAGGCAGAGGCAGGTGGATCTCTGTGAGTTTGAGGCCAGCTTGGTCTACATAGTGAGTTCCAGGTCAGCTGGGGCTACAGGGAGACCCTGTCTTGAAAACACCAAAAACAAAACAAAACAAAACAAAAACCAGTAAATAAGTAGACAAAGAGAAATTCACTGTAATATTGCGGTCGCATTTGCTTGAAGTGTTAAATTTGAATTCTGATTGAATAAATGCCAGTTTATTTGAATTGTGTCTGTTAGGGCTGAGGGGGAAATTGAACTTCGTGCTGGCTGCCTGTTGGTACAGGTGTTTCGGCTGCCTGTAACCCTTTGAGCTAAGGACCTGAGTTCAACTCTCAGAGTCCATGTCAAAAAGTCAGGTATGGTAGTACACTTCTATAATCTCAGTGCTAGAGAAGCAGAGACAGCCATGGCCAGACACTCTAGACTAATTGATGAGCTTCAGCTCAGGCTGAACCTCAGATCCTCAGGCCCTGAGCTCAGCTGGGAATTTTAGGCACCAGTAAGAACACTGAACCCAGGCTTCATGCACATGAAGCATGTGCTCTACCACTGAGCTATACCCAGCCCAGGAGAAAAGTTGTATTATTGAAATTTGACAGGAGGATCAGGAGTTTGAGGTCATCCTGAGTTTTGTATGATCCCATCTCAAAAAAACAAAACAGCAGGGCCAGTCATGGTGGTGTATACCTTTAACCCCAACACTCAGAGAGGCAGAGACAGGAGGTCTCTTGTGATTTCAAGGCCAGCCAGGTCTATATAGTGAGTTCCAGGCCATCTAGAGCCACATAGAGAGACCCTGTCTCAAATGACAACAACGAAAAAGAAACAGCAACTTTGAGCAGTGGGCTAGGAGCAAGTCAGCGCTGGTGTTCCTGGGCCCGGCCCTTCCAGCTGTCCGCTAACCTTTCTCACCCTTTATTGACCACTTTAAAGCAAATGCAAGCTGCTTTATCAGTTTGTCTCTTATTTTTTTTTTTTTTGCAGTATAGGGGTTGGAATCCAGGGCTTGTGCAAAGGTTCTCTGTTACTATATCTGCAACCTTAGGGGTATTTTATTTTATTTGTGTGTATGTTAATGTAATATTACGTTCATGTCAGTACACATGTGTGTGCGTGCAGGTCGAGGCCAGAGGTCAACTGTGGGTTGTTTCTCGGGAGTCATCTACTTTGTTGAGTGAGGGTTTCCTCATTGGCCTGGAGCTCACTGATGAGCCTGGGCTGGCCATCAAGCCCCAGGGATTTTCCTGTCTCTGTTTCCCCAGCATTGGGATTACAAGAGGACTTTGCCATACCCACTTTTTACATGGGTTCTGGGGCAGGAGGTTAGGGAGTGCTGTTAAACTCGGGTCCTCATGCTTGTGTGGCAAGCACTTTATTAAGTCATCTCCCAGCCTCAAGTTATAAAGAATGACCTTTTTTTTTTTTTTTTTTTTTGGTCTTTTTGAGACATGGTCTCCCTCAGGCTGGCCTTGAACTCACAGAGTTCAAGGCCTGCCTCCGCCTCCCGAGTGTTGGGATTAAAGGCGTGTGCCACTATGCCCGGCCATAAAGAATAACCTTTTAAAGTTAAATCTTAGTAGCTTAACCACTTGTGCTTTAGTTCTATGTTCTGTAACCTATGAAGGCATAATAGCTCCTTGTGAGGTCCCTTTTTGCTTGGTTTGATACTATGGCATGCAGAGCACATGTAGGCTGGGCCAGAGCCCCTTAGCCTAGACTAGTGGTATGGTTATTCCAGCCTCTGGGGGCCCCAGCATTCGTGGTGAACTTTCTAACCAGCAGTGCCTTCCTGAGAGCCCTAGAGGTGCTGCTTCTACCAGCTCTTCCTTTCCTTGTCTAGAACCCCACCTGTTCAGGCAGCTCTGAGCTGCAGGCCTGATCCTCATGGAACCGAACTACCACCAGGCCCAGGCTTTGGGTCCTCCCTACCCTGTACTGGGCTGTCTCTCAGCCTCAGGAACTTACCTTTTTCTAAGGGTCTTGTTCCTGACAGTTTCTGTCCTCCACAGCATGGTCCTGTGTCATCTGCTTGAGAGCCTCTCCATGTGCTCAGTGAGATGAGCCAGGCACAGGGGATCAGTCCTGTGCAGTTGCATGCATGTGTCCATAGAGAGGGACATAGATGTTTCCAGGGGCTGGGGAGTCTGTTAATGGAGACCAAGTTTTCATTTAGGAAGATGAAGATTCTGTGGATGAACAGTGGTGGCTGCAGTGAACATGCTTCCTAAACGGACCTGTGTGCCTAATATGATTAGGGTCATGTGTTTTACCTGTGTTTTTATTAAAAGGCTTGGGAGCCAGGTATGATGGTGTATGCCTGTAATCCCAGGACTTCAGGGGTGGAGGCAAGAGAATAGCAAGTCCACAACCACCAGCCTGGCCTCATAAGATCATCTTTATTTTTTTTTCCTCTGAGATAGAGTTTTCCTGTAGCCCCAGCTGGCATGGACTTGCTATATAGAACAGACTACCTCAATCTCACAGAGATCCTCCTGCTTCTTCTCTCTAGTGCTGGGATCAAAGGCGTGTGCTACTTCACCCTGTGACCTTGTCTTAAAAAAAAAAAAAACAAGAACAGAAACAAAACAAAATGAGCTGGGCGCGGTGGTGCACGCCTGTAGTCCCAGCACTGGAGGCAGAGGCCGTCGGAGCTCTGTGAGTTCAAGGGATGCCTGGTCTAATAGTGAGTTCCAGGACAGCTGGGGCTACAGGGAGACCCTGCTTCAAAAAGACAAAAAAAAAAACAAAAAAAAAACAAAACCAGAAAGAAGACAGGACAAGACAGTTTGGCCAACAGGTCCCTTTGGTGGCCCTGCCCTGCTCTCTTCACCTTACAGTACACTTCTCTCAGCTGGGCTGCTGTGGTTCTGGTACCTCCTTGGCCTCTGTGTGCTGACTTTACCCCTCATGTGGATAGGGCTAGAAAGCCTGGGTCCTTCCTGGCTTCCCTCTGCTCTAGCCAGTACAGCACATCCATTTGGCTCCCTAAGCATATCCAGACAACCCACACCCAACCCTCTTGGCACCTTACTGGTGGCTGTCACCTCTTTCTTCATTAGTTAGCTTGACAGTGAGGCTTTGGGGGGCTCGGCTCCTCTTGTCACTTCTCTGTGCAGACTCCTCATAGTAAGACAGTTCTTGGAACAGTCTGAGAGGCCCTGCCCAGAACGACCTCAGGCCAGACAGTCAACTGTGGTTCTGGACTCCCTGATTTGCCTTCCTCTCTGTCTTCTGTGCGTCCCTGGGCTGCTCTGCAGGCCTAACTTCCCTAAATTTCCTGGAGTACTTTCTCCAGCCTCACTGTGCTCACCGCCCTGTCTGGGGCTCACTGGGTGGGCGCCTCTATGTTAGTGCTCATTGGTCAGTGGAGAGGCACAGCACATTGTGGTCACAGGCTCCCTCCTTTTGGTAGACTTATCCATGTTCATAGCCCTGCCTCATTCTTGGTCCATTGTTGGGATGAGTGAGTGGGCTCCTGGGTGGTCTCTGTGTGTCATTCTGGCCCTTCGGCTGGTTCTCCTCATAGCATAGGTCTCAGATTCACATCCTGTGCATTTAGAACAACCAGCTTCCGGATGGTTTCCCAATACCTTGGCCTGGCTGGAATTGTGATACCTTGGGCCTTTGCTAGGTGACCATACCCAGGGCTCCAGGTATTGGGAGTCAGGCAGCCATTTCCACATATCTCCATGTTTCTCTCATATATTTCATACATCTCCACTATAACATAAGATCCCCAGCATGGCCCTGCTGTGTGTCTTCATGCTGCAGAACAACCCGCTTTCTTCCTTGGGAGCTGACATGGGGAACCTAGCACTGGGTATGCAGTTGAAGAGGTGAGTGTCCTGGGGAGGCACCACCCACCCGGAGACTCTGCTCAGTTATATGGATGGGTCGGCATCCCTGGTTTCTCAAAGTGGGAAGAGGACACACTGACCTGTCGGCCTGTCTCAGGTCTGTGGAGGACAATTTCCATGGTGGGTGGGCAGGATGGCACAGAACAGCAAACCACATACACATGCCACAGCTGCCTATAGGGTCTGCATGCTGTCTTCAGTTACCTCCTTTTGTTGCCAGAGCTGCCACGAAGGACTCTGCCCATTCCTCCTGACTGAATGCCCTGCGTGTAAAATCCTGGTCCGCCTCAGCGAGAAGGAGCACCACACTGAACAGGAATGCCCCAAGAGGAGCCTGAGCTGCCAGCACTGCCGGGCATCCTGTAGCCATGCGGACCTGGAGGTGCGCTGGGCAAGTGTAGCCTGGGGACAGTGGCTACATCACAGGCATTGAGCTGGAGTTTGTTCCCCATGGTTGGTGCTGGCTTGACTTCTCTCTTGTCTCCATGGTGCCAGCCCTTTCTTGGAGCCATGAGAGTGGAAGCTTCTTGGTGGAACTTGGCTTGGGTTATGAAGTCAGTACTGAGTCACTTAAAAAAGTGTTTCACAGCCGGGCATGGTGGCACACGCCTTTCCCAGCACTTGGGAGGCAAAGGCGGGTGGATCTCTGAGTTCAAGGCCAGCCTGGTCTACAGATATATCGTGAGTTCCAGGCCAGCTGGGGCTACAGGGAGACCCCGTCTCAAAAAGACCAAAAAAAACAGTGTTTCAAGCTGGGCATGGTGGCACATACCTTTAATCCCAGTACTTGGGAGGCAGAGGCAGGTAGATCTGAGATTGAGACTGGCCTGGTAGCAAGTTCCAGGCCAGCTGGGGTATATAAGCTAGCAGGGAGACCTTGTGTCAAAAACAAAATAAAAACCCCAAAACAAAAAGTGTTTTGAAAGCTGGACATGGCGATTCAGCACCTGTAATCCCAGCACTCAAGGGGGTTGAGTTTGAGGCCAGCTTGGGTATGGTGTCAGACTCTGCCTCCTCCCCACCCTTCAAAGTGTTTTATTTTAGAAAAGTTCAAACACAGCAAGTAGCAAGGGCAGCATTGTGATTCACCAGACTGTGTGTCATTCCTCTAGACTGTAATTGAACAAGCCTGACTGCATGTCTTTTCGGCTGGAATAGTTCAGGATGCATTATCAGCACCTTTCCATCACTAACAAGTCACTGAGATAATCATTTTCCAAAGAGAAAAGTTGTATCTTTTTTTTTTTTTTCTTTTTTGGTCTTTTTGAGACAGGGTCTCCCTGTAGCCCCAGCTGTCCTGGAACTCACTATGTAGACCAGGCTGGCCTTGAACTCACAGAGATCCGCTTGCCTCCGCCTCCCGAGTGCTGGGATTAAAGGTGTGCGCCACCGCGCCTGGCTGGAAAAGTTGTATCTTGACTCTGGAGTACAAAGTGGGGAAGTGAGGAAGGAGGAAGGGACTAAGGTCCTCTACCCCTCTGAGGCGTATGGCCAGTGGCCTACTCTGCCTCTTGGATCATATCACCTCCCCTGCAGTACCATGCTGGGGACTAAGCTTTATGTAGCTCTTCGGGGGACACTTCCAAGCCAGAGCACCCACATCTGAAATTTAACCGTAATCTCTCTTGTACTTGATGGTTTCCCTACATTCCCACTGTCAGGAAGTGCCCTTCATTCACATTTGTTTGTTGGCGTCAGAGTCATGGACATCCGTTTCCAGGCCCTGTCTCGGGATTCCTGCCTGCTGCATTTGCTGTCCATATCCCAGGTGTTGGCATTGTGTTCCTGTCATGTGAACAGACTTAACCAGAGCCTCTGGGGTGCTGGGCACTCTGCAAGTAACTCATCAGGGCCTCTCTTGGAGGTGATTTGGCTGCCCCTTGTGGTCATGTGAGAACAGTCCAGTCTAGCCGTCAGAAAGTCTCACCAGCCTCATAGCACCTGCCTGGCACAACCATCCACCGCCTTCACGTGGACCAGTCAGGTGTCACACAGTGGTGATGCTCCCTTTCCAGTCCCGAGCAGTGGCTTTGTCTTATGCTCTCTAGAAGCTACAGAGGAATAGAAAGTCCTAAAGTCTCTGAAGCACTGAGGGTGCCTTACATGGTGTCCGCCACTATCACAGGGACCAGGACTGTATCAGCATCTCTTGGGTGTTGGCTGCTGTTTGAGCACCACATGGTCCCCCTCATCCCTTACCACCGTGTCCTGGTGTTGGCATCTCCATCTAATGCTCCTGTTTCTTTCCAAGGCACACTATGAAGTCTGCCCTAAGTTCCCCTTGACCTGTGATGGCTGTGGCAAAAAGAAGATCTCTCGGGAGAAGGTAAGACACTTCTGTCTTCTGAGGGCCATGGGTGCCAGGCCTCCAGGTCAGTGGTGAGGGACTGTGGTGATAGGGAGGTTTATAACCTGGCCCCAGAGGGAGAGCAGCAGCAAAGTGAAGCTTACTTCTCCTTGGGTCCTAGGACCAGGTATTTTTGGACATGGTAGCCACACTCTTGGGCTAGCTATTACTTTATCCTCCAACATAATGTTTGTTAGTTTTTCCCCTGAGGTGGGGTCTAATGTAGCCTGGGCTGGCCTAGACTCGATGTGTAGCCAAAGATGACTTTGAACTCCTGATCCTCTTGCCTCTACCTCCTGAGTGCTGGGATTACAGGTATGCACCCACCATCTTGGTTTATAGTATTACTTTTGGGCAAGTCCCCCTTTTTTGTGGTGTGCGGTGCTAGGGTTGGAAATCAGAGCTTATCAAGCAAGCATTCTACCCCTGAGCCATGTGCTCAGCCTGAATTACAACTTGATTATTCTAAAAATTAAATGTTGATGTTGTTATGCCCCAAATACTAATTGTGTGTCATGTTGGCATTGACCTTGAGCTTCGTGTTTGTGGCAAGCAGTTTGAGTGTGGAGGGAAACTTAGTTGCTTGCTATGATAGCAAGTACTCAGTGCCTTAGCACCAGGGTATTTGACTCTCTCATCTTATGCTGAGGAGGGTACCTCCTGTGCAGAGCTTATGCTGTCAGTGATCCCGAGAGGGACACCATGGGGACTACACTAGAAGTTTCTTTTTCCTGGACCTACCTCTTGTGGGTAGGGGGTTGGAAGGGATATCTCCCCAGAGACTGAAGCATGAAGAGTAGGTGTGGTGACAGCTATGGGCGTCAAAGATCAGTCTGATGTAGCAGTCAGTAGCTGTGCTGGCAGCGGCATGATGGGTTGCAGGCTACCTGAGCCCGTCTGTTCTTCTGGCCCTACTTGACTGCCTGACTGCATCAGTTCTGTTTAGTAAGTCGTAGCCTACACCTGAAACTGGGTGGGACTAGGTGGAGGGGAGGTCGCCTTTCTTCCCTGATCCAGTTGTGATAGGATCCTCCAGGGGCTTTGGCTAAGTCCTTTTAACTTTCACTGGGGACCATTCAGCTCTAAAGCATGGTGTAGGGTTCATGCTCTAGCTCTAGATGGGATATTGTGGAAGGCCTGTGACTGGTATGTTGCCCTTTGGTAGGCAGGATGTTTACCTGCTGTTCCAGTGCTTTGAAGCTGTTTGGCACAGCGCAGGTGCTGTCTCTGGTCGGTGTCTTCCACTTGTGTGTGCTTGGAATGTGACAACCTCTTGTTCTTCCTCGTGGTTTAATGGTGTCTTGGTTTTCTGTTTGCTCTGAAGGCACCGCTCAGGGCTTCTCCATCCCGTTTGGGATCTTGATCCACAGTTAGGATCTAGGTATGGAGGACTACCCGGGCTTCCCTCTTGGTGCGAAATACAGCTCTGGCCTTGAAGAAATAAGAAATAGGGTTTTTTTGAGCCAAATATGAGCAATTATGGCCCAGGACACAGATTTCATTACCCCGAATAACAAGTTTTTATTGACTGGAAACAGTTTTATGAAGTTCCTAGTTACAGAACAAAAGAAAGCCATGAAGGAAAGCATTGAAAAGATACATTAGTGGGAACAGCAGGTAGCAGGTTACACTGAAGTAGGGAAACTTCTGCTATAGGCCTCAGATACTGTCTAATGACACCTGTAGCTTTTGGGTTGATGGAGGCCAGTGGTCTGCTAAGTTAGTACATTTAAGAGGTTTTATCTGATAGTCACAGTGTCAGCTCAGGCCCAGGTAGGGAATGAGTGACTGTTGTAGAAACTGTAAGATAGCCCAGGATAACTGGACTCTGCACCTGCAACATTTTAGCTCTCAATCATGAAGAGAATTAGCCTTGTAGACTCTAACACAGGTGTGGCTTTTTTCTGAGAACGGCAGTTCCCACTGTTTGTAAGCTGATCTTACAAGGCAAGCCTGACCCACTTGCTGCCTGACCTGGTGGGTGAAGAGAAAGGCTCCTCACCCTCGTCAGTTGTCAGTTGTCAGAAAGGTGATCTTTTTCCTTTTCTGATCAGACACAGAAGGGTGTGTTCTTGGGTTTCATGAGCTCCACAGTGGTCCATTGGTGCTGTCCAGTCCCTGTGCACACAAGGTGCTATCTGGTCTCAGCGTACACAAGGGCTCTCCTGCGCTCAGCGCATCCTTTGCTGTGAATCTGTGTGTTCTACCCCAGGCCCGGAGGCTTCAGCACCACACATCCTCAAGGGTGACAGAAAGCTTGGTTGCTTTCTCTATGGTATAGACCTCCTCCAGAATATGAGCTGGGCTTTCCATAGCCATCCAGAAATGTCATCCTGTCTCTGTGATCGATGGTGGACAGGTTGGCAGAGCCTATCCTTCACAACAATGAGGAGGCCAATCGGGGGGAACCTAGTGGTTCCTCGTGAAAATTTTGACCTGGTCAGTACATTGAAGAAATGGGGGAAACCCAGGAATGGTGCCCTCTGTAACTTCATCTTCCCCTTCCAGTTTCAGGACCATGTTAAGACGTGTGGCAAGTGCCGGGTCCCCTGTAGATTCCATGCCATTGGCTGCCCTGAGATGGTAAGCCGCGGGTCTGCAGTGGGGGCTGGGGACATGGGTGGGCCTTTCCCTCATCCTCCATACTTCACTTAGCCTCCAGCCCCAGCTTCTAGCTTCCCCGTCTCTCTGACTGTCTCCCCTGGCTTTCTCTCAGCACCGCTTCTTCCTGCCCTTAGGTGTCTGGGCCCATCTTCCTGAGACTTCCTGGGTCTCAGGCTTTGACCACTGCTTATCTCTGAGAACACCCACGTATATATGCATCTGGCACCCCTGAGCCTCCCAGTGGGAATGCCACTGTGCAGGTTACATGTCCCTTTACACTCACCACGGTTCCAGCTGCCTGCTCTGTGACGGCAGGGCTGCCCATGCTTGCTGTGCCTCCCGTGGTCCAGGATGCGCCTCACTGGGACAAATACATGTCTTTGTCTTTTTGCTTTTAAGCTTCAAGTGTGTTTTTTTCAGTTAGTTTTCTTATTTGTTTTTGTGTGTGCACATGTACACATGCGAGTGAGATATGGCATGCTTATGGGGATCAGAGGACAACTTATGGAGTGAGTTCTCTTCTTCCATTATGCGGATCCCACTTCTCTGAACATGGGGTTCTCAGGGATGGAACTTAGGTTGCCAGACTTAGTGGCAATAGCTTTACCCACTGAACCATCTTGCCAGCCCTAGTTTATTTTTTTGATGAACATACCATGTAATGAATAAATGAAAGTAAAAATATAGTTTCAAAATCAGGTTTATAAAATAAGGCATCTTAGAGCTGGAGAGATGGCTCAGTAGTTAAGAGTACTGGCTACTCTTGCAGAGGACCCAGGTTCAATTCCCAGCACCACATGGTGGCCAAAAGCCATCTGTAACTCCGGTTCCAAGATATCTACACCCTCTTCTGACCTCTGTGGGCATTGTATGACACAGGTGCACTTACACACTCATACACATAAAATAAAAATAATAAAAATAAAATTAAAAAAAAAGATTGCTTGAGCCCCTCAGCCTCCTTCCACCGCACCTCCCCCAAACCACTGCTGTTTTCTATCCCTATAAACCAGTTTGCATTTTCCTGTATGTGCCCTGATTGCCTGGCTGCCCACGTTGGACTCACTGGAGTATCAGCAGCTCATGTCATCTCTCCTTGTGGGGTGTCACATTGTGCTACACTCCATAGTTTGATCACCCTTCATCCATTGACAGGTGTGTGGATTACTTGCAGTTCTGCAGTTCGGAATGGTCACAGATAAAGCTGCTAGGAGCAGTCAGGCACAGGCCTTTGAAGGGTCCCTTGCTCACTTCCCTCGTTGAAATATCCAGAGAAGTAACAGGTCAGATAACAGGTGTGTCAACTAAGTTTTAAGCACAGCCAGTGTTTTGGGGGACTTTCAAGTTTTTATACCAGCTCTTTTCCTGTGGCTACTGACTGTTGGGGTAAACACCCAGAGGCACACACTGGTCCCTGGTCCACCCAAGACCATGGGAAGGGGACAGGAAGCACATAGAAGTCCAGCAAGCTCAGTGACAAGCTGCAGCTCAGCTGGAACCCTGCAGCCTGTCTGAGGACGTGGTCACAGGTTTGCTGGCAGTCAGCATGGAATTCAGCTGATGGCCAGAGAGAACCCAGAATGCATGTGCTCAGACCTGACGGAAGTTTCTCTCTCTTGTAAAAACCCAGGCATGGGTCTCACAGCTTATGAACTTCCCCGTTGATCCAGGCCCATGCTCAGGGTCCCCACCAACATAAGAGAACGGCTATCTGAGCCACTCCTGGGCGGTGTGGCCTCACGCCTTTCTCATTGTCCAAGTGGCCACAGCCAACTACAAAGAGACGGAAACACCATGAGATGACGCCTAGGGCTGTCATGTTGTACCTAGAAGAGAGAATGGAACGCCAATGGTTAAAACACAAAGCAGTTTATTGTACCAGTGCAGTGTCCCCGAGAAAGACAGTTCTCTAAAGCGCGGCCCCGGACAAAGAAAAACTCATCTCTTTGTACTGTTTTGCTTTCATGTCTCTTATAGATAACAGTATACTTTATTTTTCTCTTTTGAGACACTATCTCCTTGTAGTTCCAGCTAGCCTGGAACTCTTTATGTAGACCAGCTAGCCTCCATCTCACAGAGATCCTCCTGCCTCTGCCTCCTGAGTGCTGGGATTAAAGGCATGTATTTTGATTGATGTTTAAAATTTTTTGATTTAGCTGGGCATGGTGGCTCATGCCTGTAGTCCAGCACTTGGGAGGCAGAGATAGGCAGATCTCTGTGAGTTCAAGGCCAGCCTGGTCTACATAGTGAGTTCCAGGACAGCTGGGCTACAGAGAGACCCTGCTTCAAAAAAAATTTTTTTTTAATTTATTTTAATTTTATGTTTATGAGTGTTTTTCATGTAAGTGTTCCACGTCCATACAGTGTCTGCAGAGGTAAGAAGAAGGTATGGGATCCCTTGGAAGTGGAGTTATAGACGGTTGGTTGTTAGCTGCCATATGGGTGGTGGGAACCTAACCCAGCAACCGTTGAGCCATATCATCTCCACCCCCTGACTAGTGCTTTTTAAAACACTGAAAGAAGGGGCTGGAGAGATGGCTCAGCGGTTAAGAGCACTGGCTGCTCTTGCAGAGGACTCAGGTGCAATTCCCAGCACCCACATGGTGGCTAACAACCCTCTGTAATTCCAGTTCAGGAAATTCAATGCCCTCTTCTGACCTCTACTGCACTGTATGACATGGGTGCACTTATATACATGCAGGCAGTACATTCACGCACATAAAATAAAAAATAATTTAAAAAAATACATTTTTTTGTCTTTTTGAGACAGGGTCTCCCTGTAGCCCCAGCTGTCCTGGAACTCACTATGTAGACCAGGCTGGCCTTGAACTCACAGAGATCCACCTGCCTCTGCCTCCCAAGTGCTGGGATTAAAGGCGTGCACTACCAGGCCTGGCTAAAAAATATTTTTGAAAACACTGAAATAAGATATAAAATGGTTGGAATGCCAGGGGAGAGGAGAGCTTGAGGACTAGAACAGGAGACAGGCAGAAATGCATGTGTATACTGACCCTCTTCTGGCCTCCACAGGCATTGCATGCATGCGATGCACTTACATACATGCAGGCAGTACATTCATACACATAAAAATAATAAAATATTTTTTAAAAAGGCATCTCTGCCAGGTAAGGTGGTGCAAGCCTTTAATCCCAGCATTCGGGAGGCAGAGGCAGGCAGATCTCTGTGAGATCAAGGCCAGCCTGGTCTACATAGCGCATTCTAAGCCAGCTGGGGCTGTAGGAAGACACTTCTCAAGAAATCAAAAAAGAAAATAATGTATCTTCTAAGGAAGCCTGGCCTCAAGTCCTATCTTTCCATCTCCCAAAGGCAACTTTTTAAAAATAGTCTTTTCTTTTTATTACTTTTTAAAAGTGCTACTGCATTTATTTTTGAATGCGGTATAGAGTGTGTATGCTATCATGTTCATGTGAAGGTCAGAGGACAACTTCAGAGAGTCAGTTCTCTTCCATCATGTGAGTTCTGGGGACTGAACTATTTATTCTTTATTCTTTATTTATTTATTATTTACCCAAGCTGGCCTGAGGCTCCTGCATCAGGAGGTCCTCCTATCTCAGCCTCTGAGTAACTGGGGCTGCAGACACTCAGCACGTCACCCACTGCTCCTCTTTGTTAAAGGCAAGGAAGTGGTATAGGAAACAGTTGACTTTAAGACAGTGACAGAGTAGACACAGGAAGAGGAGAAAGCTGTCAGCGCTGAGCCGCACTGTTATAGGCCTCCTAGGCATGCTTGCGTCTCTGTGGCCCCCTCTCCCTCAGTACAGAGAAGCCCGTGGTGCTGCATTTTCCAAGCTGTTTCTGTGCAGGCACCATGCCAAGAGCTGCCCACCCTATGTTCACAGGTAGAAATGGAGGAATTGCAGGATCATGAGGCACAACAGCTACGGGAGCACCTGGCCCTGCTGCTGAACTCACTGCTAGAGTCCCAAGCCTCCCAGGGGGACCAGAGCCAGGTGGAGCCAGAGCTGCTGCAGCGGTGCCAGACCCTGGAGCGGAAGACAGCCACCTTCGAGAACATTGTCTGCGTCTTGAACAGGGAGGTAGAGAGGGTAGCAGTGACGGCAGAGGCTTGTAGTCGGCAGCACCGGCTGGACCAAGACAAGATTGAGGCCCTGAGTAACAAGGTCTGTGCCTGGTGGGGGTAGCAAGTCCTTGATCTTTGCACCCCCATCTGTACTCTCTGTCTTAGGCTTGAACCTCCTACGTTTCCATTTTCTGTAGGACTAGCAGCTGAAATCTCTCTCCAGCTTGGGAGGGCACATCAGTCATGTGATGAGCTGGGGCTGTGAAACTCCTGGGTCCATGTAGGTCAGAGCCTTCCCTGTGGTCTTAGAACAGGTAGCTCACATCCAGAAGTCAGCTCATGGGAACAGAGCAGACTAGAGACTGCTGGAGATTGGCAGTGTAGGAGTAGGGGCTTGGTGCCCATGGCATGTGCAGTCCAGTCACTGCATCCTGTAAGAGTAACATGGCCTCTGCTCTGCAGGTGCAGCAGCTGGAGAGGAGTATTGGCCTCAAGGACCTGGCCATGGCGGATCTGGAGCAGAAAGTCTCAGAATTGGAGGCGTCCACCTACGATGGGGTCTTCATCTGGAAGATCTCAGACTTTGCCAGGAAGCGCCAGGAAGCAGTAGCTGGCCGCACGCCTGCTATCTTCTCACCAGGTGCCGTTTGTGATCTTCCCATCTGATGGGGCAGGGCACATCTTCAGCTGGCACCAGGAGTGCCTACACCTCCTGAGGAGCAAATTGGGTAGCTTTCCCCCTCAGGTGGGAGTCTGGGTATGAGGAGCTGCTGGGCACCAGGTTGGATGTGCACAGAATATAACCTTGTCACCTGCAGATGAGCAGAGGGCACAGGGTGGCTTTGTGGTGGGCATTGGAAGACAGCACTGCAAGGAGAGCCATGGCTCTGAGCTAGTCTGAGCCTTCCTGGGTTGAGCTTTGTTTGCAGAAAGCAAGGGGCCTGTGAAGGTGTTCGCTCTCCTTTCTCCTCACCCCCACCCATAGGGTCTCTTAAGGGATGTCCTTGAGTGTCTCTGAAAGGTACCCCTGGGGGGTTAGGGGAGGTCTGTGTTACTTCAGGGTGCAGTTTGCTTCCCTTATGCTGCCCAGTCTGCACTTCTCACTGTGCCACTGTGGCTACCTTTTTGGATGCTTCAGAATACCCCTGTTCTGTCCCTGGAGGTACCTCCAAGCCTTATGATAGTCTAGGCCTTTGTCCTTAACCCTGGCCTGTCTCCGAGTCTTGCTGCTCAGTAGCTTGCTTCATAAACTTCAGGCACCATCCATCAGAACATCACCTGAGCACGCTTTATTTTTGGGCTTACGTTAAGAAATTGCCACTAAAATAGAAGTTCTGGAATCAAGGCTGAGACCTTGGGGGCCCTCCTTGTTGGGTTTGCCTTGGCACTGGTAGTCCTGCTCTTGAGACTGAAGACTCAGCACTCCATTCAATTCTGTAGCTTAGTCTGACAGTGACATCAGCAAGGGCCCAAAGTGAGACCATAGACCTGTTTTCTGTGAGTTGGAAGTGAGAAAACGGGTTCCTTTTAGGCAAGAACTCAAGGGACACTTGGGCAGCCTGAGGTGCCTGATGCTGCTCTTCGCTATGTGGGAGCAGCTTGTGTTGACAGTACCTTTGTGTCGGTGGTTCAACAGTTGGTACCCAGTGAGGGTTAGCCTCTGGCGAAGGGAGTTCCATAGGGACCACTAAAAGCCCTTGACCCTTGCAGCAATGTCCTGGGACCACACGTAGATGAGAGAGCTTGTTGTATAGATCTGCTTTGGGTATTGTTGGTAACCAGGCTTACGTAGCAGGCAGAGGCTACAGAAAACAGGGAAGGTGGTTTTGAGCACTGCATTTCTGGCTTGGGTGGATTAGCAGGAGTATGAATAGTCCTATTGCTCTGGGCTCGGCTGTTGGAGTCATTGTAGCAGGGAGGGTCCTCTTGGGGGCAGAACCAACTGGATATTGTATTAATCAGCTTTCTTTTAAGAGGAAAAGCTTATTTTGGCTCACAGTTTTGGAGGTTCCAGTCCACAGTTGATTGGCCCTCTGCTTTGGACTTGTGGCAGTAGCACATCATGGCAGACGGCATGTGGTAGTACAGAGCTGTTCATCTCCCAGCTGGAAAACAAAAGAAAGGGATGGGGGTCCAGAGAGATGGCTCATCGATTAAGAACACTGATTGGTTGTTCTTGCAGAAGACCTGGGTTTGAATCCCAGCACCCACATGGCAGCTAACAACTGTCCTAACTCCAGTTCCAGGGAATCTGACAGCCTCTTCTATCCTCCGAGGGCATTGCACAACATGTGCATTACCAACACACAGGCAATACACGCACACACATAAGATAAAAATAATAAATAAGTTTTTTTTTTTTTGTCTTTTTGAGACAGGTCTCCCTGTAGCCCCAGCTGTCCTGGAACTCACTATGTAGACCAGGCTGGCCTTGAACTCACAAAGATCCGCCTGCCTCTGCCTCCCAAGTGCTGGGGTTAAAGGTGTGCGCCACCACGCCTGGCATAAATAAAATATTTTTTTTTTAAATTAAGAAAGCAAGGGTTGGGTCAGGGCCCCATTACCGCCTTCAAGGGCACACCCTCAGTGCCTGAAACTCAGGTTGTTCATTAGAAAGGTTCCACCACCTCCTAGCACCAGATGTTTAACACATGCACTTGGAGAGCAGGGCATTCCAGACCCACTCTACAGCATGTGCATGTGTAGATGCCTGAGAGGGCTGGTAGGAGTCGTCCCCCAGTAGGCCATCATCATTCCTGGCTGCTGGAATCCAAAGACTGAAGAGCCTGGCTGGCTGACTTGTAGACAGCAGAAGAGCGCGTCTCCTCCACTCCCAGGACGGGACCACTTTGCTTTTCCTCTGCTGTTCTGACTTCCAGCCAGTCTTTGAGCTGAGGGCAGATTTTCCCACTCAGTCCACCACTCACCTGCAGTCTCTGGGAGATAACCCTGACACCCAGACAAAGCTTCTCCAGTGTTTCCTCTGCTGAGGCAGGGTCACAGCTTGTCTAAGGGTCCCAGCCTCAGGGTTCTCACATCGTTCCTTATGCTTCAGGTTCATAGTTCCTTGCATTGTCTGTTTGGGGTTACTAAAATTTCCATTGTTAGCTAGTTCTTTAAAGGCAGGGAGAGGGGCGGGGGATGAGTTAGCTTAGCAGGTAAAGAATGATGGCACAAGCCTGATGACCTGAGTTTGATCTTTGGAACCCACATGAAGGTGGAAAGGAAAGAACTGACTCCACAAAGTTGTCCTCTGACCTCCACATGCGTGTCATAGCATGCATGTCCCTCCCTACCACATCACATGCTTAGAAAAATTCTGTGAAAGCCGGGCGTGGTGATCCACACCTATAATCCAAGTATTCAGGAGGGCAAAGTAGGAGGATTTGGACTTTGAGGCCAGCTTGAGCTGCATGGCAAGACTCCCCCCACCCACTCCCTCCCAAAAAAAAGCAAAAAAAAAAAAAAAAAAAGTACATATTTAGTTATTAGCAGCACACTTTTAGGGGAAAATTTTTCCCCAATGTTTTCCCAGAGCTAAATGTTGAGGTTTCTCTCTCCCTGAGGGTGGGCTGAGGTGGAAAAGCTATGTTCTGCCCTGTCCTCACGCCCCTTTCTCACTGCCCCAGCCTTCTATACTAGCAGGTATGGCTACAAGATGTGTCTGCGTGTCTATTTGAACGGTGATGGCACAGGGCGGGGAACACACCTCTCTCTCTTCTTCGTGGTGATGAAAGGCCCCAACGATGCCCTCTTGCGGTGGCCTTTCAATCAGAAGGTATGAGCAGTAGTCCCAGGTTCTAGGGGAAGGGGAAAGCTGGGTGTGGTTTCCATGTGGTCTAGTCATCCGTGACAAGGTGTGTGCCTGTGCCCCAAGCATTTGGGGCTGTGGTGATTTCTCAGTGCTGGTTGTGACACAACTGGCTCATTGACCCACAAGTGTTTGAAAGCCTCCTGGGAGAGTGCGCCTCAAGGGGAGGCCTTAGCCAGGATGAGTATTGAAAATGAATATTCAAAACCAGGATGTACCTTGATTCGAGGAGTTGACTCTCCAGAGACCAGGTTGGACTGAGGACAGTCCCTTTCCTTTACCACTCAGGGCCCATGCTTGTCCTCCAAGACAAATGGAGGAGTCAGAGCAGGTGGCGAAGAGTAGAAGACTGGGGGACATGGCCAGTCAGTCCCACCTTCTTGTTAAGTGCTGTTTCTTCTAGGGTGTGCAGTGCATGTTTCAGGATCTCTGGCAAGAAAACATCTGTCAGATGCACACTAGCAGAGCAGCACACAGTAATACGCATGTGGCAGTGTGAAGCTTTAGCCTCCAATTCCACACAGTGCCAGCATGGGCATTCTTTCCCAGATGAGAAGCTGAACACACTGACTGGTGTGTCCAGACACTCTGCTGTGGGAGAGGGAGGACAGGACTTCTGTAGGTGTGCAGACTACTTACAGGCACACTGTTCTCCTTGGGCTGGCTTCTCACAGGTGACATTGATGCTACTGGACCAGAACAACCGGGAGCATGTGATCGACGCATTCAGGCCTGATGTGACCTCGTCCTCCTTCCAGAGGCCTGTCAGCGACATGAACATTGCCAGCGGCTGCCCTCTCTTCTGCCCTGTGTCCAAGATGGAGGCCAAGAATTCCTATGTGCGGGACGATGCCATCTTCATCAAAGCCATTGTGGACCTAACAGGACTCTAGCCACCCCTACTAGGAGCAGCAGCTCAGTGAGGAGCTGCTGGCCACACTGGGCCAGGGCCCTGCCACACGGGGGTGGGCAGGCTTGGTACACGTGCTGGGGAGGACCATCCTGCAGCCAGTCACCACCATGGGAAGGAGACACCAGTTGGTCCTCAGCTGGCAAACTGAGTAGAGGGTGCAGGGGACCATCCAATCCAGGGTCTGGTGGGACTAGCTGGGGCTCTTCTCTGCTTTCCTGCTTTGTGTGGAAAAGGGGGAGACCCCGGGTGGGGTACTCCGATCCTCCCTAAGAGCTTCAGAGCTGCACAAGCAGCACGAGTGTGGTGGTTGGCCTTGCCCACTCTGGCTTGTGGAAAGGAGGTGGGAGCTGCACAGGAGAGGGGCATCCACCTGCAGTGTGGTCCAGGAGAGAAGGCATTCTGAGACCAGGTGCTCACTGGACAGTAGCCTGCTTGTGCTGCACACCTCTGCCCAGTGGCCTGTATTGAGGAGATGTGATTAAACCATTCAGATGTCTATGATGAGTGGTGTCCATCTGACTCCAGGTTACCTGCTGTGTCCAGCTAGACGGGTGACTCTGGCCTCTTCCTATGAGTTGTCTTTGTTCCTTAGACCCTGCAAGCTCCCAGGGCCAGTCCATCCTGGACCTACCTGTGCAGGGATGAAGGACTGACCCTTAGCCTGGCTCAGGTGAAGAGTACTTACCCTAGGGTCCTGGGCTTGCTTTGCTCTCTGGACTGGGGTTGGAGCAGAGGCACATGACCTGATCACTGGGTATTTTCATTAGAGAGGAGTATCTGACCTCCTTCAGTCCATTTTCAAGTCACCACAGTAGGAAGCAGAGGGGGTGAGCACTAGGTCTGACCCCATCCTTACCTAGCTCTGATTATGCTAGGACTGAGCAGAAGACATTGCCCTCTGGACCTGTTTCTGCTCCTGTTCCTTTCATCTTCCTGAATTTTCAGACTTTCCATCTGCATGTAGTGTTGGTTTTAGAATCTACAGAAGCTGCACATGAGAGCGTCGTCGTTGGCAGAGGACCGCCTTTTCATGTCTGAACTCCCTGTGTCCTGGCCACCAGGGGATGGATCTCCACTGCTCGGTGGCGTGCTGGAGGATGCATCCCGTTTTCTCCTTAGTTCTGTGCCTTTGAGTTCAGATCTTAAGCTGGAAACAGGACTAGGGTTACGTGGTCACCACTTCTTAGTGTCCTACCTGCTTTGCAGGAAGCTGTTCTGGTGCCTTCCATGCTGCGGTATTTCACGTGAATGGTGTTTTCAAAGTTCATCCATGTTAATAGCATGTGTCAGATTTTTATGCATACAGTTATATGTTTGCATATGTGTGGGCATCTATATGGCGACTTGAAGTTATGGGGGGTCTTCCTCATTACTCTCTCCCCTGTATATCGAACCTAGAACTGGCCAGTTCTCCTTGTGTAGCGTCCAGAGCATTGGGGTCACCGCTGGCCACCACGCCTGGCTGGCGTTTTTGTACTTGTGCAGCAAGTGTTTAACCTGAGCTGTCGTCTCAGTCCCTGTTAGAATTTTTTTTTTTTTTTTGGTCTTCTGTCCTGGAACTCACTATGTAGACCAGGCTGGCCTTGAACTCACAGAGATCCACCTCCTCTGCCTCCCGAGTGCTGGGATTAAAGGCGTGCACCACCGCGCCTGGCTAGAAATTATTTTTAAAAATATATTTATTTTTATTTTATGAGTGTTATGCCTGCATTATGCACCTGTGTTGCCTCCCGAGTGCTGGGATTAAAGGCGTGCACCACCACGCCTGGCTAGAAATTATTTTTAAAAATATCATATTTATTTTTATTTTATGAGTGTTATGCCTGCATTATGCACCTGTGTCATGTGCAACATTCACAGAGGCCAGAAGAAGGCAGCAGATTCCCCTGGAACTGGTGTTACAGTTGTTAGCCGCCATGTGGGTGTTCGGAACTGTACCTG